AATGGAATTGAGTTTGACCTTGGCTATTCAATAAATCTTGGTTATTAAGTTGCGATTAACTTGAACTTGATTTCATTTATTTAACAGCATATTGGAATGTCATAAGTATGAAAAAACAACTGAAAGGTTTTGTCCTTCACCATAGACCCAATTGGAAGGCTGCTTCATGTCAAAATTGTACTATAGGATCTCGTAAGGTTTGACCCAGGTTAAATCATTGAAGATTATATCTCTCATTTTTTAAAAATTTTCACTTTTTTCTGTTTCTAACTGAAAACTTGACCTTTGTACGTTCAAAAGTTGCTAAACTAAGCCCAAGCAAGCCGAAGGCATTTTCTCCTAATTACTTAGATTTCATCTTCCCAAATACCAAAATAGAATGACATGTAATTTTAAACTTTAAAACACTTGCCATACACCAGTGGTTGTAAATCCATGTGGTGCTTCACATTGTAAGAAAATTTGCATTATTTTTATCCTCCTTTTTTTTTTTTTTTAAAATTGTAAATTCTGTAATTGTTTACAGAATTGTGATAGTTTGATATTATGAAAATATCAAATGGATAACATCCGATTTATTCTTGTCTTCATGTTAGTATTGGTCACCAAGAAATCCCTGTCGAATGGATGAAAAATGCTTCTAGCTCCCTGACTCCAAATTTATTGGGGACGGCTTTGCTTTTGCTTTTGTTTTTTGGTGGTGGTTATGTTCATAAGCATGTAACCAACTTCTGTTTCAAGTATATCTGTAAATGGTACTCATGGCCCATGACATTTAGAATAAACCTTACAAAGAAATAGTTTCTATTGTAATGTCAACGAATTCATGCTGTAAACAATTATTTATCTGCTTGTACACCTTGAGTTGTAGGAGAAAGAGGAACTGGCTGGGTGAAATCATTCATGTTGTAGAACTTCTACTTCTGCAAGTAAATTTCTTTAACAATGTATTAATTGTTATGTTCTTTATTCTTGATATTTCTGAAGGCTGTTGAGGTAATCGGTGAAGTCAATCAATGGGCTGAAAAGGAAACAAGTGGCCTTGTCGAAGAAATTCTTCCACCTGGCTCAGTCGATGCTTCCACGAGGCTCATCTTTGCAAATGCAGTGTATTTCAAAGGAGCTTGGAGTGAGAAGTTTGATGCATCAATTACAAAGGACCATGACTTTTTCCTCCTAGATGGGAGCTCAGTACAAGTACCCTTCATGAGTAGCAAGAAGAAGCAATATATACGTTCCTTTGATGGTTTCAAAATTTTGAGCCTTCCGTATAAGCAAGGTGAAGATAAGCGCAAGTTCTCTATGAACTTCCTTCTTCCAGACACCAAAGATGGATTGCTGGCTTTGGTAGAGAAAGTCAGTTCGGAATCAGGATTCTTGGAGCATCACCTCCCATATCAAAAGGTCGAAGTTGGTGAATTCCGTATCCCAAAATTCAAATTGTCATTTGGGTTTGAAGCCTCGGAAGTTCTGAAGGGACTGTGAGTCGTGTTGCCTTTTTCTGGTGGTGGTCTCACAGAGATGGTGGACTCACAAGTTGGTCAGAACCTTTATGTTTCTAGCATTTTCCACAAGTCATTTATTGAGGTAAATGAAGAAGGCACGGAAGCTGCTGCTGCTTCTGCTGGTCTTGTTAAACTGAGGGGTTTATTAGTCGAGGATGAGTTCGATTTTGTTGCCGATCATCCATTTTTGTTCATCATCAGGGAAGATATGACTGGGGTAGTGCTATTCATTGGGAACGTTCTTAATCCTCTTCTTGGCTGATCAAATGTACTGAACTAGACTATTACGTATACATAAGAGTCTCATACAATCTATCGAGGTATGTATTTTTCTAATTCCTATAGCTTCAATTAGCTGTGCTTTATGATACTGTATTTGTTGCCTGTCATCCAGTTTCTCTTCTTGTTGTAAAGGTGGTTCCATCCACACACTTGACTGCTATGTGCTTTCTAATATCTTTATATGACCATTTTTTGAGGCTGGTCAACATGTTTCTTTTCTTAATTTCAGTTCAACTTGAAACTGGAATATTGATTGCTAGAATACCATTTACATTGTTGTAAAGTCTTCACTTAGCTTGAGCCCCATTTTTTGGAAAATAATGCATTTTGAATAGTAGATTGATGGAGAATATATGGTTAAAAAGTAAAAAAAAAAATTTTGAATTTACGTGTAATATTATTTTATTGAAGGATGTGTGGTTGAAAATGAGTTTTGAAAAACTGAATTTTTGAAAGAATGAGACTCAAACAGAGGTTTGATAACATTTTAACGTCTGTTGAGAAATTCAATAAAACAACATTTAATGTAACAGAGTATACCGTCTGTTGGTTGTATTATTTCTACTTGATTCTATGTTGATTTGTGATTATGAACTACATCTATTCTATACGATTATGGTTAGTTTGGGTCTCCTCAAGGGAAATGGGAGGTCACACTTCACTTAAAATGACTTATTCTTAATCTAGGATAGTAAATGATCAGTGGGTCTCCTCAAGGGAAATGGGAGGTCACACTTCACTTAAAATGACTTATTCTTAATCTAGGATAGTAAATGATCAGTTGATACCTAGATGGCTCATGGTGTGTGGTCATCGATCTGCTATAACACATTGAACTACTTTTGGTCCATTTTTAGATGGTAACTGTTGTATATCTACCCACTTCAACTACTAGTAGTGATGGTGTTCATTACTTGGTTAGAAATAAACGCCTATATCAATGGCGGATCCAGCCTTGAGTTTGGACACGGGTTACAATACAAATATACATCGATTTATGTTTCAATAAAATAATAATAATAATAATAATAATAATAATAATAATAATAATAATAATAAAATACAGTAGACATTTTCAGGGGCGAACACGGGCTATAGCATAGTGGAGCTCATGCTTGGATCCGCCCCTGCCTATATACGCGTAAGCTAGAGATCTTAGCCCTCGACCTCAGCATGACAAGTAAAATTCGATATATAACTCTGCCGAAACAGCCGGTTCCTCTAGTCAAATGGAGGATTTTGCATTTTTCAATGGGTAAATTATATCCACCATTACTTTTTATAATGGGAAGAATACATAATTAGATAGATTTTAAGTTACAATTTCAATTTTGACGAACTTGAGATTTTTATTTTTTTATTTTCCAAAACCCGGGTCATAAATATTAAATTTAGTACATTAATTAAATATATAATTAATAAATTAAGATCGCAATATCATACAGTTTATGATCACAGTTGCGTATTAGTCACAGTTACAAAACGTTACACTTAAAATCACAAATTTTATAGGTTATAACTTTTTATCGATCACAAATTATGAAATTAATTCTTCGCGTATTATTTTTCGTAGAATTGCTCTGCTGGCAATGGTGTGCAGGAGAACATTCTACCCACTACTAATGTGGCAACTTTTGTTTTCCCCTACACTTGCCCAATTTTTTAACTTTTTACCGACCCCCAACCTTTTTACCCCACCCCACACCTACCCCTCACCATCCTTATCACTCATTCTTCATATATAAAGGTTTTTTTTTTCCCTTGTTTTCATCTCAATTTTTGAGGTCATTATGGAATGTCAAATGAAATCGAAATATCACATTTTAAATATTATTTTGAAGTGCTCACGGTCTAATTCTTTGCATCGTTAACGGCGCGTAAAACTGTCAATCGTAGCGAAAGTTATGATGTCTTAAAATATGTCATTCCAAACTAGTATTTAGAGAATTTCGATAATATGCTAATTTTAAAAATTTGCTTTAGTTTAAAGAATTATATCGTAGACATATCGAATGATCCAAAATTTGAATATCAAAAATAATTAAATGATCGTGTCAAAAAGAGATGCATAACTCATTTTTTCCTTTAAAATTTTTCAATTATTTCATTAACGTTTATTATTTTTGCTCAACAAATATATTAATATAATTTACATCATTTTATTAGGATAATTTTACATGACACATGACGTCAAAAATTTTCAAATAATTTAATTATTTTCAATGTACAACCTATATCTGTTTGGATCAAGATGACAAGCAATTTATGAATTCAGTTAGTATACGATCGCCAACAAATTTTTAAAGTTAGTATATTATCGAAATTCTTGAAATACTAATTTTGAATGACCTATTTTGACGCATTGTAACTTTTGCTGTGGTCGGTCATTTCATGCGCTGTTAATGATGCGAGAAGCCAAGCTATGAGCACTTCAAAATGATATTAAAATTCTAATATTTTAACTTTGTTTGACATTTTGACCCTGAAAATTGAGAAAAAAAACAAGAAAAAACATTTATATATAAAGTGTGGGTGTTGGTGGGTAAATAGTTAAAAGGGTGAGATGGGTGTAGAGGGATATTGTTAGAATGTACCTCAATTTTGATTTTTCATATGGTCTATCATGGAGAATTGTATTTGTTAAGAGTGAAATTTCTTTAGCAAGGTCTGATATTTGTCCAGATATTTGTCCACTTGGCTTCATATCCCTAGTAAATTTCCATTTTTAAGGAGTAATACTCTTTGTAAGTAGTACTTATCCATCAACCATCCATGCAACAGTGGATTATTGTAACATTCTTCAATAAATTAAATGTATGCTAAGTTTATGACAGTACTTATTACCAATATTTGATGTAACAATGGGATCACTATCACATTCTTCAATAAATTAAACCGAACTCAATTCATAGGAGAATGAGATAGATATCTCACTGTCATACAAATTGTTGTTTTTAGTACAATGCTTACAAATATCCTTACTCTAAAATTATAGGAAAATGTGGCAGTAACAATACCTCTACATAGAATGCTAATTGCTAATAGGTAAGAATAGATTGTTGTTTGCAGTGCATTGCTTACAAATATCATTATTCCACATTTCACACACACACGTATACGTGCACACACATGGACATGTGCAACTGCACATCATAATAAAGAGCCTATTACTATTGCAAATAATGACAGCTTACCTGATAATCCATTTAGGAAAAAAAAGAAAGAAATTCCTCCTATTATATAATACAGAATTTTACATCTCCAATGTTCCCTGGAGTATTTGAATATTTGGTAGCCACGAAATACTACAAATGATCTTTACTCTAAAAGAGAGAGGGAGGAAAGATAAGAAGTGAAATGTGAACTTGACCATCCCCAATCGTCATAATCTTTTGTTTGCTTCAGCATAACATTGGCTTCACTTAACAAATATAGGTTCTACGATTGCTCTTAAAAAATGTGTCACCAAATGATGGTTTGAATTGGCGTCTTTCTCTAACTCTTGTAATAACGGATATTGTGTACAAGTCAAATTTGGTGTAAACAACACGTCATCAACTGATGTGGATCGGAGCTGGCAACAAAATATATGCAAAGCAGGCATATAGGTGGTCAGCCCACAAGCTTACAACGACTAACCCAATTCATAACTTTCTCAACCTGGTAGATGACTGAGCTATGAGTCTCCAATCAAATCGAGTCTCGAAATTGTATTGGGAACGGACGACCAGATGAAAATCTGTAAAATAATATCATCACCCCATCAAAGTCAGAAATTTAATGTTTATAGAAAAATTAAATCTACCTGCACCATAAGAAGAGTTTTGAAGATATTAATAAATTAATGTTTTTCTCTCTTAACATTTTTAACTTAAATGATTTCACAAAAGGAAGGACCTTTAAAATTTAACAAGATATGAAGCTGCTTGTAAAATATTGAATATTTATCGAACTAGTTCTTCGCATGTGAGATGCACGTAGTGCATTGTAATAGAGAATTTCATAGATGAAATTACCAAATTCTTATTGTAGTCTGCCATTTTTTGCTCATGGTCTACAAGCACTCAACCCCCTCTTCCTCCACCCCTTTCCTCTAAATACGTCTTGTGTACCAATAGGCAATAATGAAAAACAAGGCATACGTTTCCTCTCTTTTTTTGCCCCAAGTTAATGGCAAAGAGACGCTTGTTCCCTCACTGAAAGGAAGAACAAACACATTAGCAACTTTAAAAAATAAAAATAAAAAAATAAAAAAAGGAGTATTATTGATAATTACTTTCAATTAATTTCAGTAAAATTCACCTGAAGCCAAATTTTACACAATAATTCTTCATGAAATCTACCAATCCAATTAACTCACTTTCAAGTCGAACATTTTACAAAACCTGAAGCCATAAATGCAAATAATGAAGGAAGATTGATTGTTGGTTCTCACCTTGAATCCAAAATCCAGTTTTCTGTGATAGTGCTTACTCATAGTCTTCCCCCTAAATTAATTAAAACAAAATAAAAAGTCAACATAGTAGCTAAGTTTCAAGTACAAAAAAGTTGTATAGCTTAATTTCAACTAACGTCTCCACTGTTCTCATCGTCCTCATCACCATTAACCTCAGACTTTGCCTTGTCGAATTCAACAGCCCCTCTAGCCTATAAAAACAGTTTGGCACAAGTCGTTTCAGTATCACAATTCAAACTAAACTGTGTATAACACCGTGCTTCTCATAGATGGATTACCAAATTATTGTTGTAGTCTGCCAAGCAGCATAAAAAAGATAATATATAAGAACAATAGACAGAAATGATAGAGACCAAAAATGCAAATGGGCATACATGAAAAGAAAGCACTTGGAGGTCTCTTTGGCTTGTTTGGATCATACGCTTTCTTTTCCTTCTTGGCCTTCCTTACAGCAAGCCTAATATTACCATTGCAAAATTTATCACAGATAACTATAGTATCAAACAAAATGTGATAAACAAAAAAGAAATAGAAATGCACGCAAAAAATAGCAAAACCCACAGAAAAGTTCGCACTACATTAGGCTAAATGTCAAATTAATTTCAAGTATTTTCATCGGTGAAAAATCAATAAAAACCACTGCACTTAATCTGATGAAGAAATGGTGATTTAATGGAAAAAAACAAAACCCCAAACCTTAATGAGGATCATACCTTTGTTATCACAGACAATGCTACATTGAGTGCAGTGAACCACTTCATATGACGAAGGATGAAGAGGGAGCTGTCTTTAGATTAAGTTTTGATTGAAGGGAGACCTCTATCAAGTGCCAATTGAACATGTCTACCTGTTGGCTCATATGCTGTCACAGATCAGCTTAAGCGATAGAAGACGAGCATTAAAGCTACCAGACCCACAACTAATATCAAGTACAGTGTGCAATAGCAATTGAGAAGAAGAAAATCTTCATATAAAAGACAGATCTATTGTGATGTAACTTCCATCAAAAAGGAAGAGGAAACATATTTGTTGTTTCAAGAGTAAAATAAATTTAATTATGTTGATGCTGTTAATAAAAAATATTTGGCTCAAAATACTTAATAGAGTTGAAGTCGACCAAAACTAAAAGCAAGAAATGAAGCTATACATAGCAAGTTAAAACTTACGACAATCCTATCATTTCAGCAACCAGGTGAGAGTAATCTTTAACGCCATCAATCATCATTCCATCGTTTGAGCGGAAAGAAATTCGATTTTCTTCTAGCAACATTAGCCTATAAAATGTACAACAATAAACCATTACGAAAGCAGATGTGAAAAGCTACACTAGTTACCTAACAACACAAGGTGAATATATGTTTTAAGTGAAATCTGCTTCCACACACGGAATGCCATCTATCAATATGAATAACAGATCCAAACGCGCAAGGATGATATACTTTCCACACTCACACAACCTTTTTTTTTCCGGACACCTTAAATAAAATGGACTCAAGCAACAAAACCTATTTTCCTGAAATTCCTCGTATGATCTTCCAACTACATTATCAACACAATCCAATTATCATCTAAATACTTCTACAAGAATTCCGTAAAGATATATGACAAAGAAGGGGAAACTAAGAGATGATAAATATTCATCTTTTGATAAAATAAATTCAAGTATACTTTGCAACCCAGCAGAGCAAATTCAACTTCCAAATAGCATTTGCAACATGGAATTCGTTTTAAATTTAACTTGATGGCTCATCAATACATAATATCAATTTCAAAATATCAACAAAAATTCAAATAATTGGACATATTTCACATTTTTACAGTTGAACTCTGTGAAAATACAATTTGACAAAAAAGATATCCCCAAGAAATTGCCAAATTGAAGTCAGTACATACCATATAAAAAAAGAATAGAACCAATTAATGAAACACATGCTGAAATCCCCAAACAGTAAAAGACAGAAGAACTTATTAACTAATCAACCCAAAACTAATGAAAAGAATTTTGACATCAGCAATTAGTTTACTATAAAAACACATCTTATAATCAGCAATTTGGGTCCACAATGATTATAAACCCGAGTCAGGATTTCAACTCAAATGATTAATACAAAATCACAGGCAAATATGAAATAACCACACAAACTCACACAGATACTGCAATAATTCATCAGCTGAAGGAAACTGAATTAATTCAAAAAATTAAAGTTGTACCGAGTTCAAGTTGGAGTGAGCTGAAAAACAGCATAGCTAAAAAATGTAACATCTTATCGTCCTCGACTCAAATGATTCTTCTTGACAGGCAATATGCTCACAGCAACATTCTGGGCACATATATTCCAGATTAGGATTAAAAAAAAAAAAAAAAACCTACTTGATCAACTAAATTAAGAAACAGAATACTGAATAATTGAATTTAACAAATTAGTACATCAATTTATTATGTTATAGAAGGTCTAGGATAATTCAATATTATCAATAATTTTTTAAAATATTTACCAAAAAAAAATTAATAAATACGAAAGTGAAAATTCAAAGAAGCCAAAATTTATAACCAGTGAAGAAGTCCCATACAAAGGAATAGAATCCATAAGAATTAGAATGAATTAATAACATTAAAAAAATGCATACCAAGAAGATGTATAACTGCAAACTTAAAATGATTGAACTTTCCAAATTGAAATAAAGTTTTCGATTAAAAAGCGTTCACATAAAAAATTAATCGGTTTCTTAATTTAATTGCATGAAATTGTGAAGCAATGATTCAAATCTTCAGATTGGATTAAAACATCCAATTCATACGGATGAATGTAATCCTGTAACTTTAAATCATCCCAAAACCCTGGACATAACAAAGAACGTCAAAATAGACCCCAAATTAAAACGAAATTGAATAAAAATGAAAAAGAAAATTTATAAAATAGCAATCGTAAAACATGGTACCTCATACCTTAAACCACACCAAAATCACACGAGAAAGGATTGTCGGCCAGTCAAGAAAATTTTCAGAGACTAAACAGATTTCTTGACCTTTATAGAAGGCAACCCCCAAAAGGAAAAGTTCAATCAAAGAATTAATCAGAAAACATTACTAAAATCATGAAAAAAATAAAAAAATAAATAATAATAATAATAATAATAATAATAATAATAATAAAAAAGCAAGAAAATGTTTACTCCTGAACATAGCTTCAGTCACAAATCCTGCCATATAATTTCACTGAGGAATTTATACAAACACTTAAAACGCAAAAGAATCGAACAAAAAACTTACTTGAAGGTCTAATGAAGAGACACATTCATTCCATCTTGTGTTCTTACAAGTAATCAGAAAATGCCTACACCAAAACGATGTCATTTTTATTAGTTCCATTCAAATGGCGTAGGAACCTCCAATCTACAAGAAAAGTTTGAAAACGCATGCCACATAAAAACCTAAAAATGCATAAACATGCAGTAAGTCAAATCAATGCATTTCCAGTTTGCTAAAGCAGATCGAAGCAAAATATTAATAATTTAACCACATTCGACTAACAATTATCACTCCGATTTTATCTATTTGATAGAATTTTACTGTTAGTACAAAAAGAGGCTAATTTTAGCGCCATAGCCAATCAATTACTTGATTGTTGGTACATCGGCTCTGATATTGATTTATGCTGCAGAGCAGAAGCACAAATATAAGATACAGAGTGGCATGAACACTTGAATAGCTATTGCAGAAAGGGAGATCCACTATTTGCTGCAGAAAATTCACATTCTGATTTGAAAACAAAATTAACAGAAATGTCGAAAAGTATTTTGCATGAAATGATGTTGGATTCATAGGTATCAAATTAAATATGTTACCTCGTGGAATTGAATTCATGGACATGGATAATAGATGGATCGAGAATCAATTTGGACGTCTGGAATGTCAGCAATGATGGGCCAGTAGTCTCCTTTGTTCTTCAAACACCGTTTCTCAAGAAGTGGGCAACCTCGAATGTGAAGGCTCAAAAGCTTTTCAAGGTAATCTCCCATAGGCAACGCCTCAAGCTTTGGGCAACGATAGATGTTTAACTCTTGAAGAATGGTGAGGCTTTGGAAGCCCTTTGATAGTGTTTCGAGATTCGGCAGGTCATCCAACGACAAAATTGTTAGAGATGGAGGAAGCACACAGTGTTCTTCGTCAGCATTGTTAGTGAAGGAAACCAGCTCAGGACATCCACCAAATGTAAAGTGATTAAGAGAGGTGAGTTTGTGTAGGCCCCACTCCCCCGGGGGCTTTAGTTTTCCGCAATTTCTGATTTGAAGGCTAGACAGATTTGGAGGAATATTCTCTTGGGGAAAGAGTTCCATTAATGAAGCACAAGAAGATACATCCAGGGACGAAAGTAGATCCATCCGATCAGGTAAGGACTTGAGATGTTGACACTTACTTATCCACAGTGACGAAAGGGACGAAAGTAGATCCATCCGATCAGGTAAGGACTTGAGATGTTGACACTCTCTTATCCACAGTCGTTTTAAATTTGGTGTGGGCAAGCCTCCATTGGGAAACAATTCTAGACCATCACAAGACTTTATGCGTAGGTCAGTGAGACTTTGGTAATTGGAGCCCGAGCCTAGTAAATTTGCCAAATTCAAATTCACATGAGTAATATTTAGATAATCAAGCGAGGGGCTGCAATCCTGTAATTTCATCATCGTCCTTAATAATGGACAATTTTCAATAGACAAATTCTCAAGACAAGATATTTTATTAGGCAACAACTTCAGAGCTTCACAATTTCTTATATAAAGTCTCCTAAGATCGGGAAGAACATCAATCTCTTGAAGGGAAAATAGCTTAGGACAACTGCCAATATCCACGTGTTGTAGGTCGACTAGGTTTCGTGCAGTACTATCACCTGGCCATAGAGTCTCAAGGTTGTGGCATTCACCAACTGTAACACTTTTAAGTGTAAAAGGAAACTGTTCAAATGCTTTGATAATTGAAGTTAATCCAACAATTCTAGACAACTGTATGCTGGTTAAAGATTTCAAATTCTGCATATGATTTAGCACCACCTCATTACACCCAGAAGCATTTATGTCACGTAGGGATGGCAGTAAAAGATTTGGAAGACTGACCAATTTTGAACAATCAGTTATAATCAATGAGCATAGCTTAGGAAGTTGGATAACACCTCCTATTCCAACCCATTCCTCCCAGTTAGACATGCCACTAAAAGTCAGATTAATGAGTGATGGAAAAGGTAATTCTCCATGGCCTCTATTTCCATAAAATTCAGGTCCAATCACTTTTACTTGATCAATGCCTCGAATGCTTAAGTCTCTTAGCAAGGGTAGTTGCCCTAAAGGTGGCAAAGTCGTGCAATTTTTACAATTTTTGAAGCTTATCCTTGCTAACTTAAGGAATGCTGAATCTTCAATCCAATTAGAGAAATTCTCACCCCCGTAATACTTGATTTCAAGTGTTGATAAGTTCTTATGGGGCTTTAATGCATTAAGCACATTCAATTCTAAAATTTTATTACGAGGATCATCAAAGCCTGCGCTCCATTTCAAACTTATTCTGTTGAGGCTTGGCTTATCCATTAGCCTTGCTTCCGTTGCTTCTTTAACATTCACAACATTTTGCAATTCCTCAATAGAAATATTACCTTGTAGAAATGATAGATTGCCCAACTCCTTTAAACTCATTCCATTATTTTTACTTGCAGTCATCTTAGTTAACGTTCGCAAACTTGTTAGTTGAGCAATTCCCTGAGGCATCTCATGTAAATTGCAAGTATGAGAAATGTCCAGATACCGAAGTTTAACAAGATTTTCCATGCTTGTGGGTAATTTGGTAAGTCTACTACAACCACTTAGAATCAACACTTGTAAATTGATAAGAGTGCACACAGATTTAGGCAACCACCTCAGTCTTGTTCCAGCTAGGCCCAGGTATCGTAAATGTCTTAAATCACCAATAGAATCTGGCAACTCATAAATGGCATAACCATTCAAGGATAGCACTCTTAAGCAGTATGAATTTGCGAATAGGTGAAGCAAAATTCTTTGGGATAAGTAATTAAATGGCGTCTCAACAGGTAGTGGCAAAAAGGTTCTCAACTTTTGAACTTTGTCAAGAAAGTTAAATCTAGGATAAGTTTCATACATCCTGCCCTTGAATGACAAGTGACGGACCTTTACAGAAATCTCCTGCAGTTCATCATCCATCCTCAAACATTTATCACCAGCAACAGACATAGCTAGATCGTTAAAGAGGTCGTGCATCACAAAGCGTGAAGCATAGGCACTTGATTGTTGGAAGAATGATCTAGCCAATAGTTCATCAAAATATTGACTACCTACATCTTCAATTAACTTATCTTTCTTTGTTTCCTGCAGAAGACCTTCAGCCATCCAAAAGTACACTAGTTGTAACTTGTCAAATTCATAGTCCTTGGGAAAGAGAGCACAGTAAGCAAAGCATCTTTTCAATTCCGGAGGAAGATGGTGATAACTCAGTTTTAGAGCAGGAAGAATTTCACTCTTTTCTTCATTCATCCAGATCTCACTTTAAAACACCTCTTCCCAATCTTCAGGACCAACTGCCATGACGCGAAGAAGCCCCCCAAGGGCCTTTACTGCCAGGGGCAACCTCTTACATCTTTTTACCATAGACTGACCAATCTCTATTAAATCTGGATGACCGTCAAAAGTTTTAGCTCCAAATGCATGTTGAGCTAGCAATGATAAAGCATCGCCCTCTGATAACAGATCCAAATTGTATGCTGGAATTTCAGACATGATTTTGGCCACCCTTTCTTGTCGAGTGGTAATGATGATTGTGCTTCCAGGTTTTCCAGCAAGAAAAGGTTTGCTTAGGTCCTCCCAATCTCCGTAATTTTCATTCCAAATATCATCTAAAACTACTAGAAATTTCTTGTTTGAAAGGCTCTCCTTTAGTTTGTTCTGAAGCGTGTCAAAATTTTCATAATCACACTTTCCACCAGAAGAAACTGACTCAAGAATGTTTTTTGTTACTCTTACAGCATCAAATTCATCTGAAACGCAAGCCCATCCCTTAAGATCAAACTTGTCCTTCAATCTTTCATCATTATACACAAGTTGGACCAGAGTTGTTTTGCCGATACCTCCCATGCCCACAATTGGAATCACGGATATTTGACTATCATTTGATTCAACACCAAATAAGATTTTCAGTATTTCCTCCTTGTCATTCTCTCTTCCATAAACTTTCGATTTTACCACAAGCGAAGTTGTTGGCAATCTCCTATAAGACCTTCCCATTACATTTTCCACCAAATTGAGAATTTTTTTCTGTTCTTCCAGAAATTTCAACCGGCCACTAATCTCTTTTAGCTTGGAAGCAATCCCGCGATCAGACATGAAATCAGTGAAAGAAAGATTAGTACAACAAGTGGGGACGAGCCTTTTTACCTTACTGGTGCTGCCTTTATTTTCCTTTAATTTGCGCTGCAAAGCTTCAGTATTCAACTCATCCACTAAGTCTTCAAGATCATGAGCCAAATCTTCCAGATCATTTAGCCACTCTTTCACATGTTTGTCCGTTGTTTGCTTGTTTTCAGCATCAGTAAGCACAGCCTGGATCCTCATCAAAGTTGTCTTCAATTCTACCAGCTGGGCGTCGATTCCTACATGACGCAGAAATTTCAGTAGCTCACCAGAGGCCAGCTTTTCAAGCAAAACGGTGAGAATTGCACCTAGAAAAACTTCGACGATAGCCATTGTTATCTTTTTCGTAAGACAGGAAGCAAGAGCCAAGATATAAGGGGGATGAATGCAAGTGAGATTGACTGGTATTATGTATATATGAAAGTCGTCTGCTGGTGGTTGGGTTCAATTATACAACATGGTGGGGTCAATGAACACGGAGAAATTTCATTGGTTCAATTAATCAACATGGTGGGGCCAAAGAAAACGACGCAGGCAACGGTGAAACTGATCAATAACAATGGATTGTGTGGCCCAGCAAAGCTCTTCGAAAAAACTTAGCACTTTTACAAATATTCAAAATCGTGCAACCAGAATCTCAATTTATTTTGACTAATCCTTTTTGGAATAATTATTTGGAAAATATTTATTCACGCATTTATTCAAAGGAAAATGCTATTTGTATATTTTATCAACTATGCATACATTAAGGTTGACATTGTATGATGTATAAAAATATGTCATGAATTATTTGAAGTGTTGTTGAAATTAAGGGTAAAAAAGTGTGTCACCTCATAGTTTAAAAAATAAAAAAATTGAGGCCTTTTCTTCATTAAAATTATATTACACGCAATCAAAAAAATTTCCTTCCTTTTTAACCACAAATTCTCTTTCAATCTACTATTCTAAAATACATTCTTCAAAAAGAATGTGGCTCAAGCACACCCATTATGTTGATACGTCTTATATTTCAACATTGTGCTTATTAAATCCATATAATTAAACACTATGCATTGGTTTGGGATGGATTTTGCCTTGATTTTAATCCAAAATTTGACTGTTGTATTCCTGTAGATAGGTCCTTTTTTCTCGGTAATCATTATATAATTTATAACATTTTACCACAATGCCCTTTTCCAATGAAGGATAAAATAAGGGAGAAAGCTGTTTGTACAGCACCTTTTGGTGCTTTACATGTACAGCCCCCTCATATCGAGGGGCCCATGCCATTTTTTTAGTGTCACACCCCTCCCCCCCGATGATAGGAGGCTGTAAGCCGTGTTGTGTACCGAGCTATGCACACAGCACGGCTCTAAAATAAGAGTTAAAGGATGTGTTTGTCATTCAACCTAATTCAATCGAATATTGCGGCTACCTTGCACTGACACAACACTGTGTAACGGTTGCAAACTTGCTTAAAATTTGATGCAAAATCCCTCTAAGATAGGCGCTATATATACATACTGTTTTTAAATTTCTATCGCACTCTAAACCTGTTCCTATTACAATTTCAAAATTTTTGAAAAAATATTATATCCCCATTATATATAACATCAACCTTCTCCCAATTTAATAATTAATTATATAAATAAAAAATTGTAAGATATGATTACATAAACCCCTATAATATCAGTGGATCAATCACCATTGTTTTAAATTTAAGAAAATCAAGAAAGAAAGAAGGGGGGGGGGGGAGAAAGAGATAATCCCTACAGGAAACTCAAATTCTTGTTTAAATAATCCCAGCAGAAAAGATAGCTATCAATATTATTAATTCAAAAAATTAAGAGAAAAAAAAGATAATCTCAACAGAACTAAAATAATTTGTATTAAAATTTCTTGCTGATACAACTTGAATTTAAAATGCATATCCAAACAAAAATTAAGAATGTTCACATACTAAATTCATTATGCTTACAATGAAAGGCAATCCTACTTTTTCAAATTCTTTTTTCATATATTGTTATGTCTATATGCATTTGCTCTTACGATGTGTCTTTCATTGTTGTTTTGACTATAGTCAAAGAGGATATTTTATAAATATTAGAATTTTATTTAAACATAAATTTAAAAGAATATAAAAAGTTCAAAAGAATTTAATGAAAATAAATATTGGTGGATAAATTTAGACTAATATATTTTTATTTAATTTTATAATGATATTTAAGTAAATTTAATAAGGTTAAAAATATAATATAATTTTCTTTTTTGAAAGTAGATAAATATAATAATGGCGGATGTAAATAGCATCTCCTTTTTTAATTTAGAAATTAAATAAAATTGTTGGTGTTAGTGTGAAAACGATGTATTGTCAAACATGAAATAATACTCCCTTTAGAAATCAACATAGCACTATAAAAATCATAAGAGACATTAAGATTTATTGAGTAGACATTTTAAACTTTTACCAAAAGTTTATAAGGATTGAAGCGATTTTTCTAAGGTCTATAATTTAATTTTTGGTGTAATTAAAAGAAGATGTCCACACACTAGTGTAATCTTGATTTTGATGAATAGAAGGCTTGAAACTTAAATCAAATTATTGGAATCAAAATTGAAATTTCACAATTCAAAAGACTGAAATTTCGCTATTCATATCTGATTTAAGAATTAATTATCGAATTTGGGTAAATTTTAGATATTTTTTATTTATTGATTAAATTTACATGTAAACATCCAGTAACGATCTTGATTTCTTAAATTGATTTTATTTTTATTTTTCGGGTGATTCTTATTTCACATTCCAACAATAAATTCTAAAAGAAATATGATTTTTATTGCTCAAGGATTAAATTAATTAGGCATGAAAGATTGTTTCAATAAAACTAGTATTCGTTTCATTGTTGATGACAATCACAAAATTAAAATAATGAAATAGGCTGGAAATTAAAAATGCAAAGTATATTTATGTTAAGCAAGAAAATATAAAGGAAATTCCTCAAATTAAAAGATAGATTAGTATAAATTGCCAAATTGAATTGAAGTCATGTTCTATTTTCGAAATGGATTCATGAGATCTTTAGATTATTACAATGAAACATAAAGTCAAAAGAAAGATTTCCTAAATAATGTTATGTGAAAGTCCGATAATTTGTCACGCAATATTGTAATGACAGTCATTGATTATGATGTGTTAATTGTGTAGATAAGATCTATGAATAGATTCACATATGAAATGACATATTTTTTAGCACCATTTAATATCATCATCAAATAGCACAGGTTTCGAATGGTTGGAATCGTTCCATTTGTGTAAATTAATGGAGGATCATCTTGTCTGCATATAACTAAGCATCTGCATGTGAATTAATTATACGGATGATTCAAAACTAGAAAAATAAATGTGTACCTAGCCGCCAAGGCTCGAGACCACACCAGTTGGACTTAGGTAGAGGCTCGTGGTCCACGACCACCTATATACAAAAGATAAACTTTATTTATTTTAAAACTAATTTTGAAAAAAAAAATTGTTCGTAACTCGGCTTAATAAGGGCCTAATTGATCTCATATTTTTATAGATTTGTTTGGCCAAACGAAAAGCTAAAACCATTGGTCTTTCTCATGAGTCAAGAAGAAATGCTCTTTTGTTGTGTTTAAAGTTATCTATCTATAAAAATAATTTTAAGTAACGAAACTTAAAAATTTATATTTCATAAAATAAGTAAATTTATTACACAATGTAGTCCATTTATCATGTTGGGCATAGAGCAGTCCGTAGGTAAACTCTCATGGGGCACAATCAGTGGAGTTCACATGGTGGACCATATAGTTCCTACAATGTCTTGTCACATTTCAACACTGAAAAAGAATTTTTCTTAACGGTAGTCAAGAAAATGGCATAGACAAGATAGTTTTACTACACTTACACCATGGTTCACAACTAGTTTGTACTCTTTGACGTGACAAACAATTTTACATTGATTTTAACAATATTTATTCAAATTAACGATCTTGATTTTGACCTTCAAAAGTTTCAAACTACCATGGTGTACAACTAGCCTAATTCTAGGCAAAATGTGTTTTGGTAATTTTCTTTCTAATATTGGAAAATTGCGAGCACATCCTCAATCTTTAACTCCTTATG